TCCTACTGCACCTTTTATTATAGTTATTTGTGGCAGTGGTGGAGGTGGTGGTGTGATGATGATAAATACAGCTTCAGTTAAGTGTCTGCTTTGTGTCAGGACCTGTATTATGTTCTTCATCTAGTCTTTGTTTTAATCCTGATAACAAACTAAGAATTAAGCATTGTAGCTATTTTAAAGATAAAGGAAATGAGACCCAGGTGGCAGAGCTGGGAAAAAACAAAAGCAGAAGTAGAACCCTGGTCTGACTCCAAGACTAGCACTGTCCCCTGTATTCAGAGTCTCAGGCGGAAACGGTGTTAGTTCTGTTACCCTTGCCACCCTCTAATGGTGCTTGAGCACCTTACATGCATCGTGATGCTGTTTTACAGAGTTATTTCATGAGTTGAAAGAAAATATAAAAGCCTTTAAGAATCTGGCTTTTTTTTAATCCTAAGCATTTTTTTAATACATGACAGAGCAAAATAACATTTTTAAATGTGTCGGGAGAGCACAAAGCATCAAAGAGCTCATGGGTACAGCCTGTGACTTCCTGGAGCTCTGCATTCTTAACTGTCAGATTTTAACAAATACTTCACTAGATAATTGCTTAATTATTATATCTGTCAAGAAAAAGCCTTCACAGCCATCAAGTACTGAATATAAAAATATCCTTTAATCTTAGAGTTTGAAAAATCATTCCTGTGATTTCAACAAGACAGCAGCCCAGTGGCGCCCGATCACTCTCAGATGTATAAGGATAAAACTAGATGGAGAACGAGGATGCTTAGGTTAGGGAGAAGTACATGCAAGAATTATACTTAACTGTATGAGGTCCTTTTCATTTGAGGGTCTCAGAAATTCTTTAAAATCTTTGCAAAATGAAAGCAGAGACGTAATAAGATCTAATCATACCAAGTTAGTAAAACAAAGAGAGGTTTTAGATCAGAAAGGCCAGGGCTTGTTTTTTTTTATATACAGCTCTGGTACTTTTTCTGAAATTTAGTAGAAATTATGTAACCTCTTTGAGACAAAATTTGGTTATCTATCCTATGAAAATGTCAGTGTCTACCATACAGTTGTTAAGAGGATTAAGTAAAACAGTGTATTGTAGGTACCTAATGCAGTGCTGAGTACATATAGGGGGTTTAAAAATTATACAGTCAATCCTCATTATTCATGGATTCCACAGTTTGCTAATCACGTACTCCCTAAACTGGGTCTGTAACCCTGAAGTCAGTAGTCAGAGGCGCTTTCATGGTCATTCATGGTCACGTACAGAGTGGGGAAAGGCTTAAGCCTTGTGCCACACATGTTCCCAGCTGAGGTTGAACAAGGAAGGCAGCACCCTGCCTCGTTGTTCCAGCTCTCACTCTGCAAACAAGTGTCCTTTCCATAGTCTACTTAGTGTGGTGATTTTCAAATTTTTGTGCTTCTTGGTGATTTCACTTCATTGGTTCCCGCCTCCCCCGCCCCCAGGTGTAGTGCTGATGTGCTGTGTAGTGTTCTTGAGCACAGGATGTGCCTTACGGAGAAAACACGTGTGTTAGGTCAGCTTTGTTCAGATGTGAGTTACAGTGCC